TTTTCCATTACTGTTTATTAATATAATAAATGTTTGTTGATGACATAAACATAATTACCTCTCGGCGTCCATTGAGTGTGCACATGTTTTCGCGCCATGAAAATTGGACGCGAATGTATTTTTCAATCATTCTCTCTCTTTTTCTCGCACTCTTTCCTTCTCTCTATCGGGAGCATATTTCGTGGCCTGCGTAACAGAAAGAGATATTGAAATACAACGCAACACAAAACCGCAATGAACGAATTTTCTTTCTGTTTGTCATCATCTTAATTATCCAGCGCGATTAGATATCAAAATATTACTGAACAAATAATAATTACACGTCGGTGATGTAAAGCGCCGAATAAGTGACGCTTTGTTGTCTCTCATTAGGTTGAATAATTCATTGGAATGATTGTTTATGTACGAGAAGTGCGAAGAGCGCTAAACGCGTGCGGACGCATGGTCACTTTCACAGAATTTTAACACAATTCTCGACGTTCACCTCAATGAGCTACTATTAATTATTCAGAGTGTGTTAATGATTGGGCTGCTTTTCGAAACCGTAACTCATGCCTGCCACTCGAAAACTACGTACGTTCACTTTTATCAGCGGTCGGTGCGGCAAATGCCTCCTGCCTATTTAGAGAGTGTCGCACTGATATAAATAGACGATGGGTAGTTATTAACCGCGGTTCAAACAATGACACACCGTCATTTCATGGATTGAACCGTACAACCGAACAGGTGAGACAAACAATTCTCCGTTTGAAGTTTGCATATTAACAATTTACACTCGAACTTCGACAAATAAAGGCATAAGACGAAAGAATCGAACGTAGAAAGTGGATAACAAAGTCTTGCGGGAAGGTAATGAGGCGAAATCAGCCGGTCGAAACCAACGAATAATTCATGATAATGCCTGTGGCGTATTGAGGGAATGGAATGAATGGATGATGTGAACTCCTGTGACTAAGTTCATTTCAAAACCTTCTAAGAAGCTGATCGCCCCGTTGAGATATTGAATTCGGCCGAATTTTATTATTGATTGACTCTATCCACTTGCACAAAGAATTCAACAGCATCGATGTTGGTGGTGGTACAGCACAGCTTGTACTGTATCAAAAATTGAAATTAAAAGCTCGTTATCGTCCCTTTTGACGCATCGAAATAAAAACTTTTTTTCTCATACTCAAGTAAATTGAACAGTTCACAAACAATGAAGGTCAATTCTTGTAGCAAATCTTTCATTTAAGTCTGCTTTTTATTGAATTTTCAACGAAATAATTGAAATTTCAATGAAGTATGAATTTATTGTATGAATTAAGTATTTTATTGAATTTTTCAAAGAAAAAGATACCAGAAAAAGGAAACTCGTAACTTTTCAAAAGATTGAAAATTGCGCTAAAAAATGAATTTCGATTGAAGGCAATGACTTGGTGATATCATAATTCTTCCGGACATTTTCCGGTCTTTGAATTGACAAATTGGATGGAGCAAATGTTTTTGATGTAAATTATTACTTTTGATTTGATGAAAGGTCAATTCATTGAATATTTTGGAACAAGCATGTTACTTTCAACCTATAAATACTTTAGATGAAAAACTTGTTGAGTAAATAATGTTTACCTAAGTTTATAAACTATAGTAATAGGCAATTAAGCGAACGACATAGACTCAAATAGAAACCATAATTGCACGTCTACAATTCAAGTGGTAGGAACTTTTTGACGCAATGAAAAGTTCAGCCAAAATTTATTTTTAGTTAGATGTTTTGATTTAAAAAGCAGCAGAGTAGCAGCAATAATCGCTGGATGGATTTTTTTAAAAATTCAGCTAGAAATTTAAAATGACGGGTGAAATGTTCTCAGTTGAATCTTTTATGGTTAACTAAACTTCTAATGAACTATTAAAAGTCCAGCCATGTATAATTTCCGGTTGATTTTTTTGAATCCATAACAAAATTCATCGACTAAAATCAATAATAATTAGAGTCAAAGGCATATTTGCGCACAAACATTTCAAAACGGATGGAAGATTCAAAATGGAAGCAAAAAAAACGGGTTTGAGTCGGAGATGATTATTCATTGATTAATAGTCAATCACAATTGTGACATGGTAGATGAGAATAGATTCGGCCTGGAAAAGCTATATTTTTCCCTCTTGAACTTATTTTCCACTTTCTTTTGATCATTTATCAAGTCACATCAATTTGGACAATTCATAAAAAAACAATGATTTTTCTTAAATTGGTTTCTACTGGAAAAAGTTTTTTTTCTCAATTTCAAATCTCCACTTTTTGAATTTTGTCCAAATTTGTTCATTGTTCTTCATCGATTTCAAAGTCAATCACCACTTTCATGCAAATACATGTTTGCGTTTTTAAAAAAATCTCAATTCTTGCATGCAATTTCGTTCAACCTCTTCAATTTATTAGAAAATTGATTGAATCGCAATATCAAATATCTCGATTAGCTAAGACACTTTTTGGAAATGGTCACAGCTCATCATTTTTTTTTTCAAACTCAAAAGATGGCGTTGTGAAGGTAATATGAGTTTGCAACTTGTACAGGAAATTATGAACAACACAAGAATTTTTTCTCATTTTCATGTTTTTTTTTTAATTTTATTCGAAAATAATAATATCTTAACAATTTTCTTCTTTTCTTTCAAAAATTCAATAATTATTGAATTATAATTCATTCGCTTTCGCATATATGCGAACAATAATATTATTCTTTATTTTCAACAAATATTCTTCTTCTTTTTCGTATCAAAAATTACTCATACATTTTTTTTTTTTCAAGAAAATCATTCTCTTCTCAACTTTTTATCAAACCAATTCAGGAACGATATCTTGAGCTTCGCTCAATTTAAGATGTTCCTTAACCAAAATACACTTTGTGAGATCACAATCGCACGGAACGGAATGTTCAACATTGTTTGGATCTAAAATGGTCAGTTCTAATTTGTACTGGCGTTGATTTTCTTCATTCCGTTTCATGGCCAAGTTAAAAGCGATCGGTTGGTTTGGCTCAATGGTTTCTTGATATTGATCTGGCAATAGAATGACTGTTTGTTTCCAGTGTGTGGGTTCAGCGGTTGGTCCTGTTAAGAGTGTCACCGTTTCTTCTTCGTCATTGGTTGGGAATGCAACATCGAACCATAAGCAAATACCTTGATAATTGCCCGGATGTTGGGTCACAATTACTTCATTGAACACAAGTTCATTCAAATCTTCCATTGAAACTTCGTTCAAATCGAACCATGCCATAACAGTGCCTTCGTGTAACAAATCACCGGGCGGTACCACCATAATCTCTGGTTTCAATGATTTTTGTGCACGAAGCGCAGCTCCGAATGCTTGCATTTGAACATCGTCGTGCGAATGCCAATCATCAAACAACGTTGGAACGGCACATGGAGCCACGTAAATTGATGCGTTTTGTGGAAACATTGAACCGGTTGGTTTAAGGAATTTATCACGAGCTGCTAATACTGAGTCTAACATCCCTTCGTGCAACAAGTAAAATCCCATCCATTCTGATACGATTATGTCGACTTGGCGTTGGTCGTCACCGTCTAGTTTAAAATCTTCAACTCTTGATTGATGCACCTCTATTACGTTTCCAAAACCATTCTCCTTGACGATTTCACGTGCTATGCCAGCTATTTTAGATGCTTCAATTGAATATACCTTGGCAGCACCGGCTTGGGCACAGAAAATCGACAGAATTCCCGTTCCAGCACCGACGTCGAGCACTGTTTTGCCAGCGAAAAGTGACGCATTTGATAAAATCGCTTCACGGTATGCCTCTTGACGCGGTCGATCGGTTAACATTAACCTATGCACCTGATGAGAAGAGAGATATGAGTGAATTTGCGGGTATTTTTCATGGTTTTTGATTAAAATTTTTGATGCAATTTTGGTTTTTGAAGCAATAAAATCGATCGATTTTCGATGTTGAACCCATTCTTGGCTTGAAATTTGTTGAATTTTCTGCTTTGTTTGGGTTTTTCATCGCTATGACCGGCAAAAATATTACACTTCAATGAATCTACAACGCTTAACTCACCTCCAAATCCTCATAGCTACTGAAGTATTCTTCAATTTTCGGTTGCTTTTCACATGGCTCAGTATCTGTCATGATTTTTTTTTTATGATTAAAAACACTTTTTTCTGGTCAATTAAATTGAATCAAGAGAACAAAAAGTCGAATTAGGTCACAAAAACAGCTCCTGTGCACCGTGTAAACAAATAGATGTTGACATATCAAAACAACGTGCTTTCTGACTGAAGGCTGAAGGAAAAACTCAAAATCAATTCGATTTATTTTCATGAGGTGGCAGTTGCGTCGCTGTCATTTGAAATCATCAGCTGTCATGATTGACAGCGATTTGTTTATACATTGTCTACAATCACTTTTTCTCCTCGTTCAATTGATTTTTTTCGGATTATTTTCAAAAAAGTAGATTTTATTGAAACATAATATGCATACAATTTTATGTCATAGCCAAAATATACATATTCTAAAAGTTAAAAAATTTAGTCATCGTCCGGAACTTTCCAGCCGAGTTGTTTGCCTTTCTCATATAAATTCGTGATTTCACGCACAAGATTACCATCTTCGACAATTTTTAAGTAGTGCTTATAGAGTTGAAGGGCGGTGCGTGCATCTTCAACCGAATCATGCGTTTCGGATTGAATTTTCGTGCCCAAAAAGTACCATGCAAGCAATCGTAACGAGATCATTCGTTGATGAGGCAAATGGAATAATGTCACTGTATCGATCACTTGATCGGGATAGACCACCATATTTATTACACTGGAATAGAGGAAATGATTGGGTTTAGATTTAGATACATTTATTCTTTTCTCCAAGTAAAAAATGCGATGAAAATTACCGGAAATCATTTTTCAGTCCGTGTCCAACAAAAATAACGCCAATGTCGGCTAGATAGCGCAACTTTTGATAGGAACTCTTCAGAGTGGTTAAATGCTTATTACTAAAGTTGGCATCCAAATCTCCCGGTTTTATGCCCGAAAACTTTGTCAGATAGTCAACTACCTGTTCTTGCGTTGAAATGTAGTCGTCCATAAATGGAACACCTTCGTCTGTACCACTCCTGGTCAAGAAATATTCAATAAACAAAATCATTAAGTACTCAAACTACTTCTCTTGAGCAAATTCTTTTGAAATGTTCATAAATTGTTCATGTTCATGCAAAACTATACAAAACCGAATAAATAATGAAACTACCAATGAAATATTTGAAATGTGTTCTGGTTAAAAAAAAAACTAATCGAAGATGAGTTTAAAAATTGTCAAAAATGACATTAAATACAAACCCTCGAATGCAAGTGATACGAGCGACACTCATATGGCTCGGTTTAATGGTGGCTGTTTTTCCATCTGGACGGATTTCATTCTCTTCTGGGTTCAAAGTTACAAACTCAGCATCCATTGCAACTAGATCACCTTTTTTCGGCATTTCGTCACCAGTCAATGGTTTGAATGTGAGATCGTATTGCTTATTCTTGCAGATTTGCTGACTGATTATGTCCTGTGAATTTATTTCAAAACACAAATTGAATTAATAAAGAAATTGCCTGAACATACTGAGAAAAAGTTTGAGATCAAACATAAATACGACAATTTTTGATTTAAATCTAATTAATAATATCTTAATTTTTTTCTAATTTTTCGATTTTAATGATTTTTAATAAAAAAAAAAAATTTGTAAATTTTTTGAATTTAACAAATTAAAAAAATATCATTGTGAAACTAAAATGACTAAAATTGATTTAAAAAAATTGAAATAAAAAACGAAACAAAAAAGTGTCCGAACAGAAAAAAATTTGCCGAATGCTTCGTCGGATTTACTTACATGAATGAATGGATTGCTGGACATAGCTTCAACGGTAATATCCTTTCCATCGTGAGCTATAGCCTCTGTTGACGAATAAAAGAGAACACATGGAACTTTCCAATCGAGTGTAAACCAAACGGCCTCTTGTTCTGAAACTGGTGCAATACTGAAATTCGAACATAGGAAAATTGGAAATTCAATAAAATTAAAATTGGAATTTGATCTAGAAATTAAATTTTTTTTAAATTTAAATTTATAAAAAAACAATTCTGATCGAACTAGTTTATCCTCTTTTTTTTGGAAAAATCAATTGAAAAAAAAGTGAATTTTTTTTTTAAATTGAATCATACCTAAAATCATTAAAAATATACCACTGTCCATCTTGGCTGGGATCATACTCGGCGATTTTCGCCTTGTGGTATTGATTTCCCACTGAAATGAGCGCGATTAAATTTTTCTGGTTGCCATTTATGACTTGGCATACAACAGCTGTTAGTTTGTATGATTTTTTGATGATTTCCACCTCCTCTTCACTTTCTTTCAATTCTTCGTTCTTTTCTGCCTCTGGCGTATCTTCCTCTTTATTTTCATGTTCCGTTTCGAGTTCCTCGTTTTTCTCTTCTTTTTCCACATCTTTCTCTTCTGTCTCTTCATTTTTGTCTGCTTCTTCTTCTTCTTCTTCTTCTTCTTCTTCTTCTTCTTCTTCCTTTTCCTCTTTAGATTCTTCTGTTTTGCTCTCATTGGTATTCGTTTCATCGGCGGTGATAGTGAGGTCAGAGATATTCAAATCGTCTGATGTTTTATCCGGGGATTTATTGCTGACAATCGATTCATCTCCGTTATCAATGGCTGATTGAATTTTGAGTTCATTCAATTCGTCAATTGCCATGGTGAAGTGATGTGGAAACCAAATATTCGATCGTGGATTTCCATTCGAATTCGATGTGTTAACACTATTGTTCACCAAATTAGCTGCTGGAGATTTTCGGTCTGAATGTGCAAAATGGCAATCAACTCTTGAGCAGTTGGTGCCATACCGACACGGTTTAATCGGAGTACTGCTCGATGGTGTGGATGGTGTTTCATTTGCCGTAGGGCCATTCGGAGAATTTCGATTCAATTGTCGTTTCAAGAAATTCATTTCTTTTTCATTTTTCAGGCCGCAATTTATCGACAGTATCTGCGGGAGTTCAGTGACTCGGGCATATTGATTCGTTGGTGTAAACTTCTTACATGTTTCACAGAATGCCGGAGTGGTTTTCTCAACACTCAGCGAATTTCGAAGCACTTGGCTGAAACTCATATTCTCTCCCTCGCGATTATTTTGACCAAGCAACAGGTTGCACACCAGTAGAATGTTGGTTTTTATTTTCTGAAACGGGGAAATTGGGCGGTGAATAGAGAGTTGGGATTTAGAATAAATTCGATCACTGATAAAGTCCAAGTTGGCCTCTCCAACTTACCTCTTCGTTGCACTTCAAGCATCGATGAATACACTTTTGCTTCGTACCAAAAAGTCGACTAATGTCAGTCTCCTCGTCGCGGCCATCTTCAGTGATTCCTTCGGGCTTTTCTTTATTTTCTGCTTTCATAAAACAAAATTCTCCATTAACATGTTAAGTTAAACTCAATGAATGTTACTTTTCTGCACAAAATGTGTGTAAAAGTATTTTGTGGACAAAATGAAGCGGTTTAAAAAGTGGTAGAAGGGTGCCAAAAAAGCGGTGGTTCAAAGAAAAAAGTTCGATGAAAAAGCAAATTGGACGAAATCATAATGCAAGCGTTGGATTAATATATATTAAGCAAAATGATAAATTAAAGAAAAAACAAGCAAAAAAGAATCAATTTTGTGGGGAAAGTTTGACCAAAAGTGAAGCAAGGGGAGAAACAAGGTGAGAAAGTTAGTCAATAAAAAAAAAGTTGTATGTGTGTCTGTGTGCCCGTTTTTCGGCCATCAAAACGAAATAATGATTACCCACCACCCGGATTATTTACATCGATATACTGAAACATTTCCACATTTTTCGCCGTTTTCGTTTTGGCATTATTTCGCATAACGAATTCGGTCAAATGCAATGCCGGAAATTCGGATTCCACGTAAAAGAATTCTGTGTCGCCACGCAAAAGAAGAAAGAGAAAAAATATTTTATGGAAAATATGTGGTTTGATGTTATCGTCAATTACAATTTGGTTGAAAATGTGTTTGTGTGTATGTGTGTCATGATGAATTTTGAGAACAATGAGCCATCGAACCCGAAATGTGTTAAAGAAAAATGTCGGTTCTCGATGACCAGAGCTTGAAAATTGGCTGTAGTGATTGAGTGTGAATTAGCGCGTTTCTGTTATTGATTTGGAAATGTGCTCAACATTACTAGTTCCAAGGAGCATTGATCAATGTGACGTGGCCATTTGGCCAATTGCTTCGAACATGCTTTCGAAAAATAGCCCATGATTACAATGTATCTTGAAAGTCTTATTTGATTGTTTCTTTTTGTTTTTTTGTTTTTGTTTTTTTGAAATTTTTTCCATTCAACTCCAAATCAATAGCAAAAACTCATCTCAACACCTAACCGCTTCGTGCCAAACACCAAACTCAGCCAATGAAAAATTTTGATTGAAAAATGCCAATGAATTGTTTTTAGTTCCAAAGAAATTAGACCCAATGAATGAAAACAAATCGTCGTGTACCTTGTGAATTGTTCGCATCAGCTGGTGGCTGCTTATTTTTTCGAGCCTCCAAAATTTCATAATGCATTTGATGCAGGATGAATCGATTCCAATTCTAAAATGGGACAAATTGATTTGCTTTTCATCAGAAAAAAAATTACGCATTTTTAAAAAGCGAAAAAATAAATTTTAAAATTTTGAAAACCGTTTTTTCAAACGGCCTTTAGCCATCAACTTCTGAAGACCATCAGCCTCACCTGAATCAATTCAATGAAATCCACGTTTGCGTTCATGTTGCGATCGCTGAGAATCAATCCCAAAGCGGATGCCTCCGGAACGGTACGGAATGATCGTAAGAAGTTGCTGGATTGGCAAGGGGCATCAGAAGTGTCCAGCATATGGAATAAAAAGCCCAATTCACACGACAGGCAAAACTCCTTCATGCACGAATGTGTGAGCAGTGTCTCACGCAAAGGAGCGATGAAATAGAGAATTTGCAGCATTGCATTACAGTATGAATTTGGCAATGTGGCTTCAAGGCCAGCGAATATCGTCTGATTGTATTGATCAAAATCGAATTCTTGTGTGCCCAACTTTGTGTATTTCACTTCATTTCGGCGATATCTGCAAAATGAGGCAAATTATTAGTAAAAATTTATTGCTAACTTTTATCCCATATTTTGCTCATTTAACTTTCAATCATTTAGAAGAAAATTGAAATCAATGAAAGTGTCACCTTTTTGGAATGATTTTCAGCGTATTCTCCGTTCCATTTTTGCTAAATGGATTCGATTGTGACAAAGAACTTGAACCATTGGAATTGTTTTTCTCATAAAAATACGGCACCTGCAAATTGAATAAAAAAATTACGGATATTCCTACCAAAAAGAAAAAATCGTTAAAATATTTCATTCAAAATGAACTCTACCTGATTTCTCTTGGTTTTCTTTGGATTTGGAGCGTATCCAATGGGTCCTTGCATTTTAATTGTGTTCAAAATTTCCGTATCGATTGGTTTTGGTGTTCGATAGCGATATGTCAGAAGTGCTGGCGGAAATTCACTGAGCCATTTCGTGCCGGTGGCTAAATGTGGCAGTGGAATCGAAGACAATGGAAATGTGGTATCGGTGATTGGAACCGGCGGCAGTGTTTGAATCGGATCCGCAAATTCTGTTTCGCGTGAATACGAATTGAATTGTGGGCTTGGTGTTGCGATTGATGAAATCAAACTGATATGGCCCGATTGATCACCAAAAGCCATCGCTTGATCCGATGAAGAAATGTCGAATGATAGACATTGCGAACCGTTCGTGTTAACCTGGATCGAATAAAAGATATTGTGAATAAGATATAGGTTAAAAATATATTATTTTCCTAGAACACATTTACTCACTTGATACATGCACACTCGAGGCTCTGTTAGTTCAACCGTGTCGACGAGTTGAATTTGTCCCATTGCCGAGATAACAGCCAATCGATTGTATTCCTGTGGCAAAAATCGGAGTAAATATGGTTCAATCAGTACTTGAATCGGTGCGATTGGACTGCGAAGCATCCGAAGGTCATGCACAGTCAGAATTCGATCGCACTGCAACGTTCCCTGTCGTTCAACAAAACCGCATGAAATCAGATAGTTGCCCTGCACATCAAAATCACATAAACTGCCCACATGGGTGGTGACGGTGTGTTCTATACTCAATGAGTTTGGATCTCTCAGTGCAACTGTTCCAAAAGCATCACCAACGCATAAGAAGCGAGGATGGAGTCGAAACACTGCTGATCCATTGCTTCCACAGTAGATCTGGATTAAATTGAAATTATCGTTAGTTCATTTATCTTCATAACAAAAAACACTTCTTACTGCAGTTTAAAATGATGAAAAATGTGCATAGAAAACATTCATGCCATGTTTGATTCATGAAGTACATGATCAACATTCTAAACAAACTCACCAATTTCGTTTCAGTCGCAGTGGCCAAATCAAAGTCGATGATAACCTCCTGATGACCGCCCATGATCAATCGATTCGGCGCCATTTGAACCATGCACACCAAATCCACCATATTCATGGATCGATGCGTGAATTTCGGAATGCCTCTTCGTATTTGATGCCTCAGAGTGGTCGTAGTTAATGCCAGAATGCCACTGTCGATCGTAATGATCTCTCGGACCATCTCACTGGCGTGCACTTGAAACGAGGTGTACTTTTGGAGAGCTCCGCTGTAGTAAGACGTTACATGACCCTAGGGGAGTGGAATAAATGAGACATTGAGCATGGATTTGTCGAGATTTGATCAGAAGTTTTAATTCATAACTACTAATTCGATCAAAAATGTGAAAAATGAGCATTTTTGGTAAAAATTTGCAAATTTGCCGTTTTAGCCCAAATTGTGACAGAAAATTTTAAATTTTTTCTTCTTTTCAAACTGAATTCAGGGAGAAAATACAATAAAATCCGCCTCTGAGTTGAAATTTTCCATTTAAAAATGATCAAACCAAGAAAAACTCCATACAGCGTCAATGAATGACAAACAAAATGTTGTTTTTGAGGTCATCAATTGATATTTACCTCATAAAAACTCAACACACCACACCTGTAAAAACCCATTTGAGCAAAGAGATACTTTCGAATAGCATCGATCATTCTTCAATCATCTGTCAACTCACCCCTTCATTGCCCATCCACAGTAGTTCTTCATGCGTATCAAATCGAACAGTGGAAACGCCAAAAGTCTCACCACCATCGGCAAGAATTGTGCCCATTTCCAGATACTCGGGAACAGTTTGGCCGATGTTAAACGTCGTAAAATTGGACGCTGGATACGATTCATTCCCATTTTGCGCATCATACACTACAATCAAAACATTCTCATTACAAACCATTCATGTCTGATAACAAAACAACATTTAATTCAATCATGGTAAATTCATGAAAAAAAAAGAAGATAAAATACTTGTTAATGTGATGATATCGTCAGCACGACCGCCTGTTTCATTGCCACAATACACATAGTCCATTGTTTTTGGCTCTCTGTTGTAACCCAATTGCTTTGTTTGCACTAACCCACACCAAATCTATTCAATTTTTTCTCACTTGTCTATATTGTTGTGGTAAAGTTTTTCCGCACATTTTTTCCACACGCAAATCACTCAATGCGTTTCTTGAACACCATATTTTTACAAAAAAAAAAACCCTAACAAATCTATTGAAAATATTTAACAAAATGTAAAAAAAAAATTAAATGATTGTTGATGATGAGTTTGTTTCGCTTTTTCTCCCAGCTGTCGCACAATTTTTATGCTTACAATTTTGACACATCGCTGTTTTGGGGCTTTTGTATGTGGTTGTGATGTGTACGTCTGATGGTTGGCAGCACTTACAACTGAGTTTGACACATTTGACAGCTGGAATGAACGGCACTCTTTTCGATACTGTCACATGGGAACGATTGGGAATTTCGAGATGAGTGAGTGTTTTGATGCGATTGGAAACAATTTAATCTCGATCGAGATCGTCGAGATGTGCAACAATTCCAATATGAGAAATGTTCACAAACATCTAACTACGTTGGATAAGGGATTATTTTGATGGGTTTTTTGGAAGAATTGTGATTTTTGATTTTTTTTTTTGGCCAAAGAATCAACCGTCAATAGAAAAATTGTTTGAACTTGACCTTGAAAATACCAAACGAATTTGAAAAATACCGAAGAATGCCTAAAAGGCGTTCCAACATTACCATCAAAAGAACAAACGCTGAGCCTCAAAAGGCATTTCGTCAATCATAAACTAGGAATATTGTGCAAATCTGAAGTAAAACTTGATTTTTTTTCCCCACAAAATGGTACAAAAAGTCTTGAATGTTCGCTTGTAAATCGCCACAAAACACTTGAATAAATAGCTTTATTGAGTAAATTTTCTTTGTGTAGCTCATTTCTTGCTTGCATCGACAGGCGGGAGATATTTATTTGTTGCGTGAATATTTATCATGATTTGCTCAAAAGCTAAACTATGTCTAAATTGTTCAACTAAAATAAAAAAAACTTGTTCGTCCAAAATATAAATTGTGGCTTAATCATACAACTTTATAGACACTTATATTCAAAAATCCATCTACAGCTGGCTTAAAGTACATATATGCAATTGAACTCGCGCTGGCGCATTAACGCTTGTATAACACTGAAAGCAAGAGTGGTCGAAATTCGCTTTGGTTCACATCGAATATGTTCAAACTGGTTGGTAACGATATCACTGGCTTTAAACGTTTGCTCTGCGCTCGCTTAAACTGAGCAATGATTCATTGGCTTCGGTTTTGCGACGCAACATTCCCAAGCGTTGTTTACAATAAATTTGCAAAAATAACGCCGAAAATATAATCATTACGCCAAAGATGCCGACAGCCGAAATATAATGTCCATACATGATGCATGATAATAAGATTGCAACGGCCTAAAATGAGAAGGAGAAGAAAGAGATGATAAGTGGATGATTGGTGGAAAAGTTGTTTTTTTTTTTTGCAGAGATATAGATGAAATAGACAACAAATTTTCAACAAAAATATAAGAAAACTCCCATAAATAATTGACATTCACCTGCCGAAGAGTCATTATAATGGAAAAAACCGTCGCTCCAAAATGTGAGATCGTGTAGAATATGAACAACTGTCCAGTGGCCGAGCAAATTGATAGCGCTATACAGTCTACTACGAACTTTGAGTGCTAAAAAAGAAAGAAAAATTCGAAATCAAGTTTAAATTGAGCTACATAAATTCTGCAACAAAACTAACCGTCGTCGCAAACATGAATGACTCCATGAAACCACCTTGAATGGCTAGCGAAAAAGCGGTAAATAGTGTGCTAAATAAATTCACGCCGCACATCATCTGAATGGGTGACATGCTGTATGTTTTAAACAATTCATCTTGCCAATTCGAGGTGAAGCTGTCAAACACAAGGTACATCGTAAGCAAAAGAATTCCGGCCATTGAAGTGATCGACGAAACTGTATGATGATCGGATTTGCTGCCAAGCAAAAATGCCAACATTCCGATGGAAATGAGTGCGGCAGTTAAATATTCATAAAATTCGAATTTCTTACGCGATACAATTTTGCCCATCAACATCACAGGAATGATTTTAAACGATTTGGCCAGTACTTGAGTGGGGAAATTGACATATTTCAATGCCTCGTATTGAAACCAAGCAGACATCACATTTGAAAAACTGGCAAAAGAATACTTGAATAACGGTGCTGACCCAGTGATTTGGGCGATCGCAGCTATTGGCGATGATGATGATGGTGATGTGTTTTGGAATTGATTCTTCGCACATAAGTAAACTAATGCCATTAAAAATGCCAGAGATCGATTAGCAAAGACCAAAAATTGCGAATCATGAAAATGCTCCTCGAATTTATGACCTTCGGGCGTTAACGTTTCATATGGCTGTGTGATAATTTTCTCTTGTAATAAACCCCACACCAAGTATGATGTCATCAGACCGAAGAAACAGTACACAATTCGCCAGGTACCACCTTTTATTGCATTTGCATTCGCTCCGTGCATCGGCAATTCCGACAGTCTTATACTCGAAAAACACGAACGCACCAACAATGGGATACAACTGACTTTGTTCGCTAGAGGTGGGAAAAATAGAGAGAAAAAGGTTTGGAATTAGTCGATTCTTGGTGGTATCATACCACTGGTATGAATAACAAATTTAGGTCATTTTTGTGGAAAAGTAGAATTTTTGTTGATTTTTAATCAATTTAGAACAAATTTGAGGCGAATTTAACTAAAACGAGTCCAAATAGAACCATTTATACCTTTAAAAAAATGCCATTTTAATCAAAATTGTAAGTTTTCTCCACGGAAAATTCCATTCAAATCATATTTCCATGGTTTATCCACCAGATTTCTAAATTCTCCGTACAAAATCGTGCCTAATGCAATGAATCTAAACTATCCGTAGTAGATCTGAGATTCTCATTCGACACCTTCTGCCAAACTTCATACCTTTTCTCTCACAATGCATGGGTTTCATCCCAAAATGCTTACCGCATCGTTCCAAATACTTGGTTCTCTTGGTGTACTGATAAATTAGAATGCCCGGAATAAAGATGCAGCTGTATCCAAAGCAGTTAACAATAAACTTAAGTGCCCATCGGTATTCTAGTGGATGTAATTCAATCAATTGTGTAAGGCTGAGCTCTGTTTGTGTTGCATTGTCGGTGGTCAAGTTCAAGCGTAGTATGTTTGAGAGTATGTAAATCGAAACGAGAGTGGCCAAAATGATGAAACTGCGAAATGACAAATCAATTTCAATAAAAAAGAGTTCACAAAAGGGGAAAAAACACACAAAATTGCTTACATGATAATAAAATCTGGTATTGGATTGGCCATCGTGTGTGTGTGTGTGTGCTGATGATGGTTTTGGTAGTCGTAAGTTACGACTGTTTATTTATGCCAAATAGCTAAAAATCCTAAGAAAAATTCCATTAATTTTCGGGTTTTCCACGGAAATTTTACCAAACCACTCACATTCAAACCAGAGTCGTCGTGAATTTCATTTTTATTTCAAGTTTCTGTGCAAAATTGTGCTCAATAAAAATGATTTGTTGTCATTTATTTTCGTTGTTGCACTGCTGACTTTGACAGATGTCAAGCAGAGCAGTTGGACTGGAAATCTCGAACGATAGTTTGACAGTTGACAGTGGCGCCAATGTGAGAATGAAACATGCGCTTGTTGTCAGACTCAAACATCAAACCATCAAACAATTGCTGCCTCTTGTTGTAATTTTAAGTGTTGGAAAAAGTTAGAGTTAACATTCGACAAACAAAAGTTGGAAAAAATGGTGAGCGATTGCAATTGGCGTCTGGAGGCCATTTCAAAGGCGGCCAAAAACATCAAGAAAACATCGTTTGTGTTAAAAACGGGCGAAAATACGGTGGGAAAAAAGAAAGGCATTCACATCCGTATTCCGTCAGTGTTGTGTAGTCGTGAACACTGTACCATTTTCCTTGATGGCGACAAAGTCACGCTCAAAGACACGGTAAGTGGTGCGAAGCACATTTTTTTCGATTTCTTTTTTTAATTATTTGGATGCAATTTGTTGTTTGCAGTCACGAAATGGAACGTACATAACCTATCCGAAAGAAACGAAACATTACACGGATACGACAGCTGAAAAACCACTTGAACAGAATGACATGATCAGTTTTGGATTCAATACCGCCTCCGTGTACGATGTCAACGATCGAAATGCGTTCATTTATCGGCTGGTGAAGGAGCAAATCGAAACCATTGACATCGACGACAGCGATGATGACGACGCTCCGGCACCAACCAAGGGAAAAATCATCGAAATTACCAACAAAGTCATTGACATTGATTCCGACTCGGATTCCAATTACTCTGGCGACGAATGTTTCCAGAACATTGAGGAAATGGAAGAAGAAGAAAGTAGCAGCTCAAGTTGCATGATTGAAGATGACGTCAGCTATTCTGATGACTACAGCGAATCGTCCGATTCGCTGGAAAGTGGGGAGGAGAGTTTTGTCGTTACCAAATCCATCATCAAGTGCGCCACACCAACTGAAACAATTGCATTGGACGAAGACGATGATGAAGTACCTGAAGTGATTGAAGAAAAACCAACACAATCGGAAGAAAGCAAAGTGGCCAATGGCACCGTTGATGAGCCGTCGACATCAGAAACGGGTGGAAAAGAGGCAAAGTCGAAGGAAGAAGACGTTACAACCACAGAAACTGAAGCAAAATCGGAAGAAAAAGACGCCAAATCTGCGGAAAATGAAGCAGAACCGAAGAAAGAAGACGTCAAGTCCACAGAAAATGTCACAGAATCGGCTCATAAGGATAAACCATCAGCAGAAAATGATGCAAAATCTGAAACCGACCAAAAATCCGAAAATGAAACTGAAACAAAAGACGATAAAACGTCCGACACCACGCAAAAATCTTCGATCGAAAGCGAAAACAATGTGGGAGCCAGCACAAGTAAAGTCGCAGAAAAAGCAGCTCGTTTGGAAAGATTGCGTCGCAATTTGGCTGAAAAGGCGCCGAAACAGGTGTCTTACACAAAGGCACAACCGCTACGAAAGCGTCGCCAAACGATCAGCGAGGATGAATACAATCAGCGAAAACTGGCCAAGAAGCTGGACAGTGAAACGGCCAAGCGAATTCGACACGAAAGACTGGCCAAAATTGGGGAAAAGGAAAAGGCAAAACGTGATGAAGCCGCCGAAATTGCAGCCAACACAATCCGCGTAACAACGGCTCCAAAGGTGAAAAATATCATTTCCCGCGGCGAACAACTCCTCACCGATATGTTGGCACTCAATCCGACTAATACATAAGTCGCTTTTTTGTTGAATCAAATATTTCTAGCTCTTACGGAATTTTTAAGCTAATATGGTTAAGCTTAAGCTCTAAAGATAAATCAAATTTCAAACACTCACCAACAACAACAGTAGATTGTTTACTTACTGTTTTCGTAATTTTCGTAGCTTGTAATGTCGATTAAATATTTAGTAGACTGGTTAGGACAACATTTCCATTCTTTAAATCTAGCAATCAAACATTTATGAAATAAAATGAGCAAATTTGGAAATATGAAATAAGTTTTGCGGAGTTTTTTTTTTTTGAGTTTTTGGTCATTTTCTAAGCATTTTTTGCCTTTTTTTCATTTTCAGATTCCATCAATCTCGTGTCTGGGCATTTTTCTACAATTTACTTCTATTTTCATTCAGATTTCCTCCTTTTTGATGGTTTGTTGAGAACGACTCTTTTTTACAGCGAATTTCGAAGGTAACTCATTGGTGTGTGATTGAAAATGCCGTTGGGAATCGGCATTGTCGGCTGTTTATGGGGAGAAAAGTGTTTGTTGAATATTTTTTTTTCACAAGAAAAATGAACAATTTCCGCAAAGAATACCGTTGCTGGTTCATCGTGTGCTTCTTCAAAGAATTGCATTGAAACCACATTACTATTGGTCTTACTAAATTCAGCTGGGTCCAATGGGCACTATCCATACCGAAGCATAAATCTGAACTAAATTCAGCAAATTCAACCAAAAGTCATTGTACTGCATGATCAAACAGTCCAAAAAAAAGCAATTGCACAATATGAAGCAATCGTCATGCAAACTCACATCTTTTTTGCTATTGTGCATAAACATAGTGTTCCATGCCGTATTCAACTGTATTTACTCTTCTTCATTTTTTATCGTTCTTCGCTTTTACGTCGTTTCAATTGTTCGGTACGAAGCTGTCAGTGCGACAGTCGTCAGCACGTCAGTGGTTGTTGTTGTTTGACACAACACATTGACGTTTATTTAGTTCGAGCTGTGATTTCGGCCGCTCAACACTGTTTATATTTTGATTTAACGACAAAAAAAAAACGCAAGAATTGTTTATATTTTTAGATTAATAACTTGAAATTAGCGAGAATTTGTTGGCAAACAACAGATTCAATTTTATGTGAAGTAACGTTCGGAACAATTGAAAAATGTAACAAATTTACGGGTAGTTTTAACAGTGAGCCAAATTGCTTGCAACAGCAAAATGTACCAAAGTAAGTGGAATTAATTGACAAAAAAGTATCTCTTTTTTTTTACATTGACGCTAATAATAATTGGTCGATTGGGAAGAAATGAGGGGTTTAGAGCGAAAATGTAATACAGAAAAGTTGAGCGGAAAAATGTCGATGATGAATTAGCGAAAAAAGGGATAGCTATATAGTACACTATAGTGAACTATATAGCCATCTCTTTTCATTTGACATATTCCCTCTCAACTTTTATGTATGACATTTTCGCTCCAAACCCTCAAATATCGGAAAAGTCAATTGCTTTGCGGACCAAACGATGCCATCATGAATTGTGCAAACTCCTCATTGTTTTCCAAATTCTATCGACCATGGCAATATTGTTTATAGCGTACAACAAATTACTTCGTCACAGATTTGCTTTTTCTAGAGAAAATTTATATGGAGATTGAATTGTGTTTGTTTTGTACTGAGTGTTGTGTTTTGCGGTGTTTTGCATTGAGCTCTGTGTAAACACTCATTATGTGTATCATCAGATGTATACATCTAGTGCTGTGTAAATACAAACAATTTGATCTCTCTTCATATTGTTGTTGTATTCAACGAGACGCCGGTTAAATCAATAAAAAATGCGTTACAATGAATCGCACTGTCCTGTTGCTATAGTGTTCTTGGAATTGGTTTTCTGTAAGAAAAAACTGTCGGCGATGCTTTGAGTGATGCATTAAGGCTTAGTCGGAGATCGTTAACGACAATACAGTGTGTGTTCAATGAACACTTTTCACCACAGAACTATACACAAATTGTTAGTGCTTTGAACGGTGGTTTCGTATTACATGTGCAATAACCATATTCCACTAGCAAAGAAAGTAGCAACCGAGATTGCACTCACCAAACGGCCACCGTAAATGCTTCTCACGGATTTTTTTATACCAACAGTTTTTTATGCACAATTTATTTAGAAATAATTTTCATTTGGCTAAAGCAACCAAACTGTTATTGTTGTTGTGAGTAGAGTAAATGGACGCAATAGAAAAAACGAATGAGAATATGATAAGAGAGGCAAACAGAGCTCCAAATGGAGGGAAAGGTAGAAGTAGAGAAAGAGAGACAGTAAGGAAAAGAGACACAGAGAGAGAACGATAGCGCAATAGCACTGAAGAAAGAGCGAAGAAAATGAAACGGAGAAAGAATGGAAAGGATAAATGGAGAGAAAAGGGTTGTAGAGAGAGTGAAAGAGATGGAAATATAGAGAGAGTGAAAGAGGAAGAAGAAGGGAGAGGTGAGAAGCAATAAAAAGAAAAGAAAGAGAAGAGAAGAGAAACAGACAAAAAAAAACACCCGAGAACAGAAAGAGTGTCGAAATATTGAGCTAGCTGGAATATGCCCAAGCATATCGACAGTTGAATTTTAATCTTCATTCAGTTATTGACGCGATACATATTTTGATAGCGCTCATTTTTAATCGCGTCGCGATTTTTATCAATTTTTCACTCAAATTTTATCCACTTTTCCGATATGACAGGGAGACAAATAGGTTTTTATGACTTTTCGAATCCACACTTGTGATTAAAAAAATATTTTCTGACGATATGTTCCATGGTCGTATTTCCAGATATAAAAAGAGAGCCAGAGCCGGAAAAGCCAAAATGGTCATTGATTGCTGTTTCAGAAGCGGCACGAAAATGGTGCAGTTTAATCCAATTGGAGCCAAACAAAGTGTATACCGTGGGCCGTAAGCGAAACAATGACATACGAATACCAACGGGTCTATGCAGTAAAAGCCATTGTGTGCTCGAAGTGTCTGACAATGAAGTCATCATGAAAGACCAGGTTTGTAGTACAAACTTTGTACTGTCTATAAATGAAATATAATTTGGATAAAAATCGTAAATTATTTTCATGATTTTTGGTTTGCAAACAAACCGAGTTTGTACGTGAATTATTCAACTTGAATACGCTCCCGAAAAAAAAACACGAATTTTCAACTTGTAAATATGTCTAATAAATTTTACAATGTCCATTGCAGAGCCTGTACGGAACACGAGTGAATAGCATAAACTACAAAGACAGCCGATGTATTGTGAGCGAAAATGATTTGATTGGCTTTGGATGCAGCCCATATGCGAAGCGAATCAAAGATAAATCGGACAAACGATATTATGTGTACCGTCTTGCGTTAGGAAACAAGATTGGTTCAGGCGAAACGATTGAACTATCGGATGGAAGTGATGACGAGGGCCAACATGCAAATAAATCGTATGATGCTTTTGATGCTTTGGATGTGGGCAATGACACGGATGATGATAATTCATCGGACGAAGAAGAGGACATCAAGCCCGATATTCACACGTTGATGCGAACGGCAATGGCAACGATGCAAATCAAACAGGAAGTCGAAGGCTATTGTTACGATTACGATAGAAACCGGTTAAATTCAGATGAACAGGTCATTCACAATGAAGTGCCGATTTGCTTGGACAGTGATGAAGAAAAAGAAGATATCCTTTTATTGGAACCACCAAGAAAACGAATCCGTACAGAACAAGAATACGCTTTCCCAACGCCAGAGCCAGAACCTGAACCTGAACCCGAACCGATGAAAGAGGAAGAAGATACGAATTCAGATCAAACGCTACCGGAATATCAAATGAGCGACACAGCGCTAAAGGAAAAAGTGAAATTGGTTACATGTTCCCGTGGACAACAACTCGCCACCGATATGCTCAAAACACAAAAAGTTCTGTTGAAAAATATCGCACAAAAACCATTGCATCAAGAAGCTGGCTCATCGTCATCGTGGAACCAAACCTATAAACCTCCGTCCGAGTACAGCAACTTCTCCATCGCAGATCTCAGCAATGCATTCATCTCTGAAATCACCAAATGGGACTATCAATGGATTAAAGATCGAAAACCAAATCCACTGCGCTATCAAATGGACGTGAAACATCTTGATACTAACTTTTCCGATTTGGACTCTTTTCAACGGTTCGTTTGCACTGAATTCTTTTTTGAGCATTTTATTTTGATTGTTTTTTGTAGAACATCTTTTATTTCGACTAGATTTCTGTTGTTTTTTTTTGAACTCCTGTGTGAGCCTTTTTCGCTGTTTGAAAACGAAATTTTTTGAAATTTCTGTTCAAATTTTTTAAATTTTTCCTACCAAATTTCAAATTTTTTCTTTGAACTGACCCCATTTTTAGGCAAATGAAAAATCTACTGCTCATGGAAATCTATTCGATTATTCTCGCGGAGTGTAGCACATCAATTCCACACACATTCACACGAGTGGATGACTTGCGTTTCGATGAAAATCGGAAGCGATACATTTACAAGTGTTCAAGTAAGAGTTTTTGACCATAAATCAATTTTTTTGATTTTTTCTAATTTTTGTGTGTTTTCAAATCAATACTTCATTTTAAATGACTCATTTACTGCAATAAATTTTGGCTAAACCTAAATATACTAATAATGGACTTTCCACTTGAATTTCAGCTGAAAAAAAAGATTGTCGTGTATCCGAAATCAAGCCCGGCCTTTGCACTGCTTTCGCCCATTCCTATGGCAAATGTTTGGGCTATGTATCTCAGGCCAAGCGATTTTCTGGTAAATTTCAAGATGATTTTTTTATAGATTTTTGAAATAGCTACTGGAATAGTTCAATTGCATCAATTCAATTCATTTTCATTCATTAGTTCATTCAATTTTTATGGAGAATAAGAAAATTTCACTCGATTTTTTATGCACACAATTTTGTGCGTGTAAAAAATTGATTGGAAGCAAATTTGCAACTAGTTTTATTTCCTTCAGTTTATCGGAGTGTACCTGGTGCACCGGTTTTGATGTTTCTTGAATGCAATTGAAATAACACACTGATTTGTTATGTACATTTTCCATGCAAAATCACTTAAAATTCTTCATTTCCAGATAAATGGGAATTTGAGATGCAAACGGATTTTGTCGATAGGAAAAAGTTTATCCCGAAATGCATTCAAGTTGAATTCGTAACCAATATTCAGCCCATGCTGGAATGCTTCGTTAGTTTGTACGAGCTACGGAAATCGTCTCTTCAGTATGTGTTCTTGCGTCCAAGCAGCCAATACGAAGAAGTGAACAGTTCCATCGATGACGATTTTGTCGCAGACGATTCGGTTTGTGTGGTGTTTTGGATTTTAATTTATTTATTTAAAAAAAATGAATTAGCATACTAATAAATCTCATCGAGTCTAGGACCTTTGATATCAACGCATTTTTGCGATTTCTACTTTTTTTTCATTCATAAGTCGAATCCAATATTCAAAGCATTATAATCAAACTCTCATTTCAGGCAAATCTAAATGAAATCTACAAAAGATGCGCCGTTTCAGCGCTTGGAAATTCGAAAATTCTACTGGTCAATGGTGGCGCTGGTTCAGGCAAAACTAAATTTATTTGTAATCTGCTTGAAAGGTTCAACAGCGAAGACTTCCAGTATACTGATTCGATTTTGGTCTGCGGTCGAGGAAATGCCCTTGTTGATGACATGGCAGCACGAATTTTGCCGAAAATAAGCAATATTGGTAAGTGGGAGCTTCGGTCTATTCTAAAAATATCGAATAAATAAATCAAATAATGAGTTCATCAAAAAAAGAGAAGAAAAATTGGAATATTTATCAGAAAGATAAATTCATTTTGCCATTTTAGCACGTTTTGGACAAATTTCGATCATGAGGAAAGATATCCGTCGAATTGGCGTGGAAACGTTCGATCCAAAGCTAAAGAAAGTGAAAATTGTCTTTACAACTTTGAATAATGCCTTCGATTTATTGCAGTAAGTGTATCAATTATAAATTTCATGCAATTTTTCTGCATTCTTTTTCTACAAATATTTTTAAATGAATTTCATTCTATTTCTTTGTTATTTTTTTTCCTTTCTTTTCCCATTCGAATTAACGCTTTTTCCGAAATACAATTAAAAATATTTCCATTTTTCTTTTCTTTATTTTCATTTAATTCGTTATTTTTCCCCATTTGCAACAGTATCGATAGATCGTTTGACGTATGTATTGTGGACGATGCATCGCTTTGTACAGAAGTCGAATTGTTACCATTATTCCGCTTGAAATTGACCACTCTTCTTTTAGTTGGCGATGAAAAGCTACAGGCATCAACAACACAGAATGAGGTACAATCATTGAACATTATAGATAAGAGTGGCAAATTTCATCCTTGATTAGGATTTCTGATTCATTATATTCTGATTGAGAAAATAAATCGGATTTAGAAAGATTCGGTTCAGTAATTTTATAAAATGAAAAGAAATTTAAAAAAAAATTGAACTAATTTGTTTTTTTTTCCTTTTTCAGTGCTGCCATGAGAATGGATACTCTCGATCGTTGTTTAGCCGCGTAATTGCCAGCTACAAAATATTCGATTCGAAACGGATTCTCTATCCAACGCTGTATAAACAACGTCGAATGCTTCCTGAGATTTGTTCATGGCCAAACAAGTATTTCTACGATTCAAAAATGGAAATTGTTCCAATTGTACGGCCACCAAAAAGGTCACCATTCCATTCGTACACAATATTTCAAGTCAACACAATCGAAGACATTGAAGTTGATTTCGTGCGACAGCTGCTGGAATTTTCTATTCGAGACATTAAGGGACGGAGATGCTCTCTTGGAATCATTTGCGGGCATCCAGACTCAAGAGTCGAAATCGAAACGATGATCAAGTGAGTCATTTTGTTTGAAGAAATTTGGATTTGGACGAAGAAAAAAAAACATTTTTTCAATGAAAATTGTTGAGAATTACGAATTGTTCAAAGTTATTTGAATTGCAGAGATTGATTGGATAAATGATCAATTTTGATTCGACTCCTTTGGATGCTTTCGTATTTTTCTAATCATTCGAACATTTTCCACTGAAACCCATTCTAATTCCAGAGCAAACGATCAATTTGCCGGTGTTGAAGTGAGTGGATACGAATCATTTCAAGGGCAAGAAAAAGACGTAATACTAATGGTTGTTTTGAAGCCAAAGGATGGATTCAAACTGTTCAGTACGAATGAAAACTTGTTGATCGCCTTGACAAGAGCCAAGGAATCGTTGATCTTTTGCGGCAACTTTCAGTACGTTTGCACCGATTTAAGCTCCGATATTTGCACAGAGACAGACGCAATGACAAATACATGGAAAGCATTAATCAATGATGCCAAAATCCGGAAGCGATTTATTGATCTTAATGGAACTTTCGACCAACAACTCGTATCCAACTCACTCAAATGAATCATTTTAACTGGAAAATTGAATATCTCTCAAAGAAAAACAAAAATTGTGAGTTATTTGGAATGACGTCAATAGTTTTTTTTTTAATCGAGAAAAATCTCCCATAAGATAACAACGAAAATGTGACTTAGTAAAAACACTTTTATTCTTGACCAAGTGCACACAATAACTTTATGTTTAGCATTAAAATTGAATGAAAATTGATGAAATAAAATCTGATTGAAGTGAAGCTATCGACAACAATTCCATTTATGAAGAAAAAGAAACGTTAAAACATTAAATTAATTGGTATTCTGAATTTGCATAATTCACACTGTGATTGAATGACTTTAAACTAAAGTCTAAATAGTAAGTTGGCTTCTAGGAGATGAGTTGAAGAGAGATGCCATAGCTTGAAAAAATGCATTAGGAACTATTCTGAACCCATCCATCACATCATGAACACCAGTATCAATTGCGGTTTCAACAATGCTCGACATGCTTTCAAACATGTTCTGGGGATAGTTCGATGTAGTTGTTGGTATTGAACCTCCTCCAGCCGCGAATGGCCATGGCCATGGATACGATGCCATCGGATTATTTGGATTACTTGCACTGCTCAAATTGGGAATGTTTAAAGCTGATGGTTGTGGATTCTGTGGTTGTTGCACCAGTTGTGGTGGTATTCCAAGTTGGGTAGTTTGAGCTGAAGGTATGGTTGAAGCAGATAATTGTGGTGGCATACTGGATGGAATGGCCTGAGCCGAAGGTGTATTAGCTTGCGATGGCAAAGCCGGTTGAACAATTGGTGTGCCAGATCCCATTTGAACGGGTTGTTGCTGAACGGGCTGTTGCTGAGATGAAGTTTGCTGAACTGGTGGTGGCTGAACGGGCTGTTGCTGGAATCCAGGCAACGATAACCCTGGCTGTTGCACAGTCGGATTTTGTGACTGTGGCTGTTGAAACTGCGATTGTTGCGGTTGCGAAAATTGTGGCGGTGAAATACCGCTGAATTGACATCTGGCTAACAAAAGCTGTAAAATAGTCGAAAAAAACAATTTAAAAGAAAAAAAGTTTCATACTTCTAGCTTGAATTCTACGTTTTCATGACGAGTTAGTCTAACTCACCAGCCGACTGATTACGATAAGAATGAGACTTGTGTACTTCATTTTGAACAGAATAGAACTCATAAAGGTCTTAACTCGATCACTTTCACTTCAATTGTGAAATTAGCTATAATATTAAATGAAATCCGAGATATACCGATCGTCAGATGCATTGACGTGTATTTGTTGATCTAGGTGCATTTTTATTTTCTACAAAAAAAAGTTCCCATTCGTGTAAATTCCAAAAACATGTTTACAAGACTCAGACAAAAACAACACAAACATTGCGAGCGATACAGCATTTTCAGGTCAGTCTGAAACAATTGGCATTCGAGCCTTGTTTGCATTCGGTTATATTTAATTGGTATACAACGCATTTTTGAAGCTTACGTCTCATGTTTCTCACGTCATTTTGTATCGTTCAACCAAAGACGTTGAAGAGTAAAAATACAGGATAAGTATTTTTTTTTTCTAGATAGAAGACAATATTCCGAATTTTTTTGGCAGTATTACCTACCTTATTTGTTCCAAATTTTCGATTATTAAGGGAAGGGATTTTTTTCAAACATCAGATAAAATATAGCTAGATTAAAGAACCAACTAGTTGGAAATTTCAAAGTTTTTCCAATAGAAGAGTTCATCTTTGTGTCTGTTCACCTTTTGTATGTCTATTTTTCTTGCCTACGTTCAATGACACTCACCTCCAAATTGCAAAGTCAGTTGTTTACATTTATTTACTCTTCTTTCTGAATTACGACGCTATTTACAACATCGGATGTTCAGTTCAAAAACAATTTAACGAACAAGCTTTCAAAGGAAAAGGCCAGGGTTAAATTTTAAAATATATATTCCAAGCAACTGAAATTTATTTGAATTGAAGGTAAGGTTAAAGTTATGATTCGGAATTAATGTATGTTATTACTTAAAAACGTCTAAAGTTAAAACAATTTGAGTTTTTTCTACAATTGGTCAGATTATGATTCAACAGATGCTCCTTATGAATATCAGGATTCAAGGATTTAAGATCACTTGATTGATATCTCTTGTATAAGCCCATTCAGTTGAGGTAAGATAGGATAAGAATAATATTTGTGAAGTCAAAATAAACAATATTTTGAATATTGAAATATTTAGTAATGAATATTTTTCTTGGTTTCAACATATACTGTTTTCATAAAAATCGATGCCGTTTCTTTACATTAGGTGTTAATCAATTATTATTAGATGCGAGAATCAAAATTAACTTAGTTGTCATTTCCAACTGTCGTTACTTGTGTATGCGTCGCAAATGTCTTACCAGACTTGATGTTTGTGGAAATGATTTATGGCAAATTTTGCATAGAAACGATTTTTCATCGCTGTGAATTCGCATATGAGCCTTCAAACTATCCGACCTATGGGTTATGTATTCCTTGCAAGCGTAACATTCATAACCACGCCGCTTGCACTTCGCCTCATGTTCATCCTTTTCCTTTTGTTGAGGGAAGTTTCGATAGCAAACAGAGCACTTGAACTTCAATGGACGAGAAATGTTGTGAGATTTTATATGACGATTAAGGTCACCTGCTGTGCTGAATTTCTTTGAACATTGGTCACATCGGAAAGGTCTCTCGCCAGTATGGTGCGCACGCATATGAAAGACCAAATCTGACTTAACCAAAGTGGAGTATTCTTTGCACAAGTGACATTCAAAGCGTCGAACCATGCAATTGATTTCGTGTTCCGATTTCGCAGCTTCTTGAGCAAATCCTTTCAAACAATTCGAGCAACTGAACAAAAATTCGCTGACGTGCGTTCGCATGTGCGATTGAAGATAGTCTTTTCGTGGGAATCGTTTCGTACAATGAGTGCATGGGAAAGGCTTTTCACCTGTGTGCCTGTACGTGTACATGTGCTTCCCTAAATCATCTTTACGTGAAGTGGTGTAGTCACATGATGAGCAATTGTGTTGTTTGGCCGTTTTCATCGGTGTAATCGACTTTTTCTTGTTGCTGCCAATGTCTGCTTTGGGCTTATTTATTGCTGCAGCAACACTCTTCTTGGCTTTCTTGGCGCCATGTGGTCCACGTTTTGGTTTCAATTGCTTTCGGTTTGGTCGCGAGTCCTGTGCATCATTTTGCGATGATGATCCAACTTTATCTTTTTCACGATCTTCAACCGAATCTTTGTCAACCTCCTTCTTCACCTCCGACTTAACATCAGCTGAATCATAAACATCGATGAAATCATATGTGCAACTCGTTTGGTCGCTGCTAATCGAATTGATTGATGACCCACTTGCAGCACGTTCCAATGACAATACTGTGACCATGTCAACTGCATACCCGGGCTCTAGCTTGACTGTCGGCTCTTGTTTTATTTCGGTTCCATTCAAAATGGATTCAACGCCTTGATGTGGAGTTGTGTTTGGTTTGCCTTTATCAGGCGGTTTCCCATTTCGACCATTCATTGTGCGGTAATCCAAAGATGGCATTTTCAGCTTAATTTCTCATTAGAAATGTCAAACAGAAAGAAAATACGTAAAATTCCACTCAGATAACAATTTACCTTTTGTCTAACAATTTACTGAGATTATTTCAGCTCAGCCAAAGCTTTGACCAACAAATAAAAGTCACAAATAAACTGGTATTAGATGAAAATTTCACTTCAATGAATTGAAGATAGAGCGTATCCAAAATGGCGGATAGAGGACAAAAGAAAATAAATTTAATATTGAAGTGAATGTGTTGTGTCGACGTTCTCCGGCTTACAAAGATGCTAATGCGATGATGAAATAGCAATGAGCGCACACATTCGCATAGCTTTTTGACGTTTCGAACTGAGATGTGGTATTGTCGCTTAACACTTTCGAATGATTTGCTTGTGCAATACTTTTCGAAAAGATTCAAAATTAAAAGTGGTTGCAATTTCGGAAAGCAGACAGAGCCTGTCCGTGCGCCCTGGTGCAAAATTGCCAGGGCGCCCTTTTCTTAGGATGAAATGAAATAGACTCAAAATTGTCTCAAACGAGTAACTTTCTTGTTAGAAAAGTTCTGTACGCTATTGTGTGTATCGTTCATATTATGAACTTCATGGTGTACAATACACTGTTTCGTGTATATATGAAAGACACGAAAAAAAATCCAAGGAGCGCGCCGAAGGCGCGCGAGCCAAATTTTTTTTTGTCATTTCAAAAATATAGCGCTTGATTACACATGTTTACTGAGAATTACATGGAAAAGGGTGCCAAAAATAATTGAATATATTTTGTAGTCGGTTGAATAAATACTGAAATCTTATTGTTTAATATTTTTAAATTGGTAAAAAGTGCTTTAAATACAAGTGGCACTTCAATATATATATATAAGCTGATCAAATGCTTTTGGTGCATTCGGCGATCTCGACGCCTGAATTTTTCTACGTATTTTTGGAAAATTTAAGCAATTTAAGCGCTCCAATTTTTCTGCCAGTTCGCACAAATTTTAAGGCTCGCGCGCCTTTGGCGCTCCAGCGCCGTGGTGCGGCGCACCACTTGCGCCCTATCTGGGACAGGCCCTGAAAGCAGAATTGAATTCAATATTTCTTTTTAATAACTTTTTATTCTCAAATAATTGTTTCAGCTCTATTTATTGCTTTTCGATATAGAATCGAATATCTTTTCATTAATAAAACAGAGGATTCTTGTATTGAATGCAGATCGCTATTTTTTTTTCTCCAACCAATTCATCTACAGATCATAAGATTGATTATTTCCTTCGTTAATTTCACTTTGCCGTTCAATATCCATTCCATCATGTGTTTGATAGTGTATATTACTCAACTGCTCTTGATCCATGCGTATTTTCTCATATGCACAAAAGGCAATATAACAAAAGTAAACGAGAAATCCTGAAAAAAAAACAGAAGGTCATTTTTGGTTGAATTTACAGTTCATTCAAAGAAAATCGATTGGAATCCACTTCTTTTGCATACCCTGGATAAGTGTCCCGATGAAAAGTGTTACAAAATGTTCCTTCTTTGAGATGTTGAAAAATAATCCATGTTCGAGTGGTACAACGTCATTTTCGGTTAGAAACGCAGAGAAGCAAATGATAGTTAGAGCTATACACAGTCCGAATATACTGACTGCGCCGCTGATTATTGCCGGCAACATAAATATTAGCTTTCTCTGTGAATAAAGTCATATATGAGTTGTTCTTCTTTTTACGCAAATTATATTATTCATGATTTAATTTAGTCGACTTTAAGTAAAATTTGAATACTTTTCAACAAAATTCATTCGAAGAACGCAATTAACCATGTGAAATAAGCCATTTTTACAAAATTAGGCATTTTTCTGTAAAGTTGTATCGCAACATTGTTGAAAAAAAGTTGTATCATCAGCATAACTCTTTGCATTCACGATAAAATTCTAAACCAATCCAAGGACAGCAAATCGTTCCAACAGAAATGTAGTCAACTCAAGTTATTTTAAAATGGACAATTCTAAATAACCAAATGATGATAAATAATTCCAAACCTTGTAAAGTCCAAATAAATAATACATCCATGCAGTTGTCAAACTCACTGAAAATCAATAGAATTTTTTTGAATGATTCAAAGGCTTCACTTAAAAAAACATTTAAATTGACTCTTTTATATAGTTTGCGGTTAAACTTTGTCTCTCTCACACTAACTGTCACACTGATTCGTTCGAGTTGTTAGAGTGAAAAACATGTTGTTCGCAGTTTAACGTTCTTTTCCATTGTTTTGGGCGTACTCACAGAAAAATATAATAGTGACTGGTGCAGCGTTAACCATTCCCCAAATCGATAATGCAAAACTCGCCGAGAATAATATTAAACCAGACAGCATTCCTCCTATTCCCAATGGAAAACAAATCATACTGCTGCACATGGTCTGCATCTCCATTGTTACAGCTTCTTTGGTTCGAGAATACTGTTCTTATGGCACGATTTGGACGATTTGTTGAACTGAATGAAAATTGCAATGAATACAATGAAAATGTGAAGTTTTTATTCTAATAATGTGAATTCTAAGCCTTAGAAAGAAGAATCTTCTAGCTATTGAAGGGAAGACTTCTTTTGGAAAAACGCACCCAGCAAATTTTAAATGAAAATCAGCGAATGCACAAAATCTGACTGATAGACCAAAATTAAGCCAACCAGATCTCGTTATTCAATGAGTACATGAACCTACTTGGTAATGCATGAAACAGTCACAATTCTGATACCATCGAACCAGTTCTTATCATGCAGTGCGACTCATTGAATTCGACATAATAATGAAATAATAAATAAAAATTCATCTGGAACACTTTTCAACATTATTTTAATGTAGATAGTGGTGTTTTCAGAATGCAATGACGCAAAAAATGGTTTTTCCGGGATAAATTGCGACTATATGTTGTAACGAGATAAACTTGGATAAGTATCGCGTTGATTGTTCATTTGGAATGGTATTTTGAGAAATTCTCAGAATAATTAATGATATTTAAAGATATTTTTAGCTATAAAACCGAGATTCATAGTTGATTTCGGAATAAAACCATGTAAAATAGACAAATCACAATTTAAATTATTAGTCAGAAAGTAACTTGCCTTCTTGTTGTTCCCTTTCCAAAAATACAGCTTCTGCTGTTCACACTTTGTGTTTTCAAAAAGAAAATTCTCAGAAAATTTAAGTCGCAATGCGAGGCCAAAGTCAAGTTTATAACAATTTTAATTTGAATACAATTTTTACAGAAAAATCTTACATTACTTTTGAATTTAAATATTTTTTCTAAGTACGACTATTCGTACTTAGCTACTACTAAAAACTATAGTTTTTTTTAGATTATAATCCGTTTACTTTGCTTCTTATAGGCAGAATTCAACTTCCAAATCACTTTTATTTTGCCAATAGTTTCAAATTTGGGAAATCGCATATTTAGGCGGTCGTATGTGCTGTGAATGGTTATCAGAATGCAGATTTTGAACGCTGAAAAAGAACAAAGGCTTTGAATTTGAATTTATTCAAATAAAACGATGAATTGCACGCATTGAATGATGGAGAATAATAAAATTATGCAGTTTCAGGTGACATTGAATTAATTGAAACAGTAAAGAATCTTCACGAAAGAGAAATCATGCACGGTACATGGTCTTCGGATTTAATTCACTTTGGTTACAATACCGCGATTCGAATTTTCAAACAATTGTTCTAGTTTTTGAAATTTGCATGTTATTTTAAAATAGTTCTTTTTATATAGATGAGCCTTGGGTGGTTGTGAGTCCTTAGCCTCAATTCGCGACAAAATGATTTCAATCGGAAATGAAACGAAATGAATTGGTTTGAAATTTTTGATTTACATTCAAATTCAAATAATTGGCCATAAATGATGACTCATCATGACTCACCACAGAAAATCGTTAGGGCAATCAAGCATATAAACCTGGTGTCTCTATGTGCGTTGTACATTTCGTCTAGGCGATGTTTTGCCTTATATTTATTAAATAAGCTGTATGGTTGGATGATATTTTCCCAGAGGACTGCCAGTAGAATGGAAGTACCAAGCACAGCTACTCCCGTCACTGTTTGCATTATATTCAAAATTAGTGCTGGCCCCATGAGTACCGGGCGATACTATTAGAAAATTTCAAATGATTATAAATTTTTAAAAATGCCATGGTAAATCTTCAAAAAGGGTTCTTCATGCAAAATCATGTTCACAAAAATGATAAGTTGTTTGAAAACTTTCAGTGTTTGATAAAAAAAAAATTTAAATTAATTTTTCCTGGTAATGAATATTTAATCAAAATGATGAAATGCATAGTAATTGTTGGCTTATTTTCTCCAATATTTCTAAAAGAAGACTTGAAATCATATCAAAGTGCAAAGTGCAGTAAAAAATTTGGATTTGTTTCATAAATAATTGAGAATGAATGCAAACCCTGCCGATTCCGAAGAGTAACAATGTCCAAGCGATGACTTCATTGCCTGAAATACATTTCAATCTAAATAATACTTTTGATTAATAAATCTTATGCAAATAGAAATAAACTCACTTGAAGTCACAAAAGTGATTGGCGACTGATTCCAGCATCCCCAAATCAATAGAGCACTACTGAAGGCGATGTGAATAAATGCGACTAAAATCGATCCAAACTCCATTAAATGAATTGTCGAGTCTTTTGTACTTAATTGTTTTATATCGACTTTTATGCTCAAATACGATTGACGAACTAATTTTACAGGCTCATGTACAAACGAATCGCAAAACAAAATTTAGTTCACGAGCATGGTCAGAAGTTTAGATAAGTAACAGATAAAGCGAAACAGATTTTATCAGGGAAATGAAAAAAATATGACGCAGTTCCAAAAAGAATTCTATTGGGGCTTGATATGTGAAAACAGGCGTATATTCCAGATGAATCATACTTTTTGTGCTGAAACATCTGGTGTTTTAATCGTAGCGGATGTAGCAAACATTTTTGGAGTCGGAAATTGGTTTTTTTCCAATAAAACAAAGTATTTTCTTGTGGTTGAAGAAAAGAATGAAAAAGGAGATATGTATGCGAATTAGAATTAAAATTAATCTCATATTCCGTTGTGACCTATTTTTATGTGCTTATATCAAGCGCACACTACCAAAATAGTACATCGCTACAGATAAAATCGAATCGTGAAAGAAACGCTTTTTCTCTTTAAGAACAGGTTCTTAAATATAATTTTTTTTTTCAAACCATTCAAATGTGACAAAATAAATACTTTTTACTACACAGCCTGTAGAAATTTTGGTGAATACTCAACCAATCCCTGTGCACCTAAAGTCATGGTGTAGTTTATGATTCTGAACTTCGCCTTATTTCGGTGTTCTCGCATATTTCTTCATATGTTTCATTCTTTGTTGAACCGTTTGCGTGCTTCAGACGAACTGCACACAAAGGCATGACTACTATGTTATATGTAACCAAATTCAGTGTTTGGCAAAGATATCTTATCGAAACGATACCCTTCAAACTGAATGACAACTTCAAAAATGTCATCAGGCAAAATCTACATAGTATTTTGGAAAATGCATCGAGTAACCATTGCGAAACATCAATACGTTTTGGCTAACGCGTAGTACCGGCCCACAGAGAAGCTGTTAGCGTTGCCGTAAAGTTGATTTTATTCTAGTAAAGCCATACACGTTTGAAAAAAATTGCCAAAAAATACAATGATTCAATGAGTTGGAATTGAGATGGCATAGACTGCTATGTGTCAAATTACTTACATTTGAAATGTATTGTGGCACTTTCCCTATGCTTAGAACAAAAAAATCTTTCTTTCACGTTAACCCATTAACTAACTACCAGTGGTCGATATTTCGACCAGTGACTTTCGATATTTTTTTCAGGGTCTATCTCCCTCCCCAGATGGGGAATTCGATTAATTTTTTTTTCTAAAATAAAGTTTGAAATTCAAACTTCCCAATGAGAATATTACAAAATCAATAAAAACGATTCAAATTGTTCGGATCGATCATCGAATGAAAACAGAAATTTTGCAAAAAAAATCCCCTAAATTTTTTCTACAAATTTGTACTGAATCAAATCGAACGAAAGAATCTTTTGTTTTAATTTCTTAGTTAAACTTCATAGTGTCCAACAACATTCACTTGAATACACTCAATTGAATGCCGAATTTTTTTTAACTTATTGACACTACAAGAGCCGCATTAAATTATTGATTGTACTGAATTTTCAATTTTTCTTTCGCTGTTAAAGATAAATGGGACAAATATCTCACGATTTGCGAAGTCTACTGTTATTTTTAGACCAAAATTGATAATATTTGAAAGTATCGCGCAATTTGAAAACAAAATAAGAATCCTGGTAATTAATGGGTTAACGAATCAAATGAAATCGAAATGTACTATACATTTCAAATTTTATAAATACACGATCAAATTTTCATTATATAAAATCGTTGATTTATTTAAATCCATTAAATGCGTTCAATACAGTTGACTTCATCAATCCACATGCCTTTCAACAAGTATACAATTGTTTCTGAATTCCTAAATAAAATATACAGTCATAGAAATTTAATTAGGACCGGCATTGAAATTTCAGTTTTTTCCCATTAATTCTGTTATTTTACAAAAAAATATTCATGAAATGATGTTTATGAGAATATTTGAAGTTTTTTGTTTGACAAAATTCACTCCACCGATGGTCGTATTTAATTGAAAT